TGTGTGTGTGTGTGTGTGTGTGTGTGTGTGTGTGTGTGTGTGTGTGTGTGTGTGTGTACCTTTTAATCTGCAGCATTCTTTATACATATTTATTCCCACACACACATAAAATGTATGTATTTTCTCACTAACAGAACATAAAAGACCAATTCAGTTGTACCATTATTTTGGACTGAAATTGAATTATGACAATAAATATGTAAAAAAATCATAATAAAATTGTACTATAAAATACATATGTGTATTCAAAGTAATATGTATGTGGCAGACAGATTTATCAAGTAAAAGCTGGTCAGAAGGGAGAATTCACATTTAAATAAATCTAACTAAAATACACAGTTAAGACTGAACACAACAGCTAAACAATATTAGAGAACACAAAAAAATCATTAGTTCAGCAATAATGGTTTGTTAAAACAATTATTTTGAGAATATACTGTTTTGCTACACTGAGTAAGGCTGGGGTAACGTTAAATATTGTTTAAACTGTAATAAAAAAATTAAAGCTAAAACATTCTTTATGAAAACAATATAAATGTAACAGATTGATCAACTTTATACAAACATGATTTTTTTCACCAGCTTAGTTCCATTTTTTTGTTTGTATTTTTTTTCCAGCTCTGGAGAGAAATGTTTGTTTCTGTCTGCTGTTTGAAACTTTCCATGAAAATCTGCTCCTGAGTGAAGCTGCAGAAAAACAAAATTTGAGGGAATATAGACTCTAATAAAACCTGCAGTACAAAACATGCACCAGCTTTGTTTGTTTGTTTGTTTGTTTGTTTGTTTGTTTGTTTTATGGAAATAAAATTGAGCAGTAAAAACACGGGTTTTAGTTTTGTGTTTTATTTTTAAAGTAGAATAACAGCCTTACCATGGTTGATGGTTGACTTTATACTAGTCCAAAGGATCAGCACCTGTTGCAGGGACGAGTCAGACCAGGTTCTCAACAGAAAATCACCAAAAAAAAAGTATCTTAAAGTGATTCGGGATTTGTTGCAACATTATTTTATTTGATAAACATTTATTTTAACTGTAAAATAAAGACTGTAAAATACTATACTGTAGGCTGTTTAGGTTTTCTAATTTTTAAACTAAATTTTTAAAAATATATTACACGGACTGAGCCATTTTATTTACACGCAAACTGGGTAAATGATGACATCGACAGGTCCTTGGTGCAAGGCTGCAACTAAAAGGAGGGATGGAGGACCTCAGTTTAGCTTGTTGGTTTGTCGAGCTAGCACCGAGCTAATACATATAAGGCAATATAGCATTGGCGCTAA